TCTCATATGTTATCGCACATATTTTATCTATAAAAATTCTTTCGCTAACAATTTTTAGACCATTGCAATTTTATCTCGTACTGGACGTGACAAACATGACAAATCACGAAAAGGAATTGCACTATACGCAAAATAAATGTATATACATGGAAGGTAAAGAACCATGTAGAATTCCTGTTCCAGTTGACCGATGTCCACTTAATAAATTATCTATGGTAATAACGGAGACATGTGGCCTATTCGAAGACATACCGCAATGTAATACTATTCTATCGTAATACTATTTTTTTCACTTATAGTTAAATGGTGCTGGTGATGCAAGTGAACTCCAAAAAGTATATGCTGAACATATAGCTTCGTTGGTTGATCTACGCTGGCAATTACTAGGTACCGAGTCAACGGGAAAAGCAACTATATGGGCCGGTCTCACAGTCTCCGATTAACGTGATTCTCCGATTAAACTCACTCTGAATTTCTTTCTAACTATCCCCCTAGAAAGAGACGAAGAGTGAGTTTAATCGAAGAATCTAGGGAGAATCACGTTAATCGGAGACTGTGAGACCGGCCCTATCCGGCATTACTTTAACTCAGGATATGTTATATCTGGTCAGAATGAGTCCTCTACAGTGAGGTGCGTATACTATTTATACACTATTTACCATGCGTATGTATAAAAAAAACTTAAAATTACTAAACAAATTCAACATTTTCCAGAAATAACTATCAACGATATTATTGTAAAAGCACAAGAAGAACTGTCGTGTGCTTTGGGCGAATGCATAAGTGTTGGTGTGGGAGTGTGCAATGCTCTGGAGCATCCGCTGAGTGATCTTACATTGTCCATTAATTTCTATCAGGACCATCATAATGGAGTGAATAATTATCAGTTGGAAACAAGATTATCCAGCTGGAGCAAATAAGGTCATGCTGCCTACTGTGTGTCACAACTTTAATAAATACAATTTATTAATATTATACACCCTTGTCTTACGTTCCCGAATTTATGAAAAAACAACAGTTACAGGAATCCGGCAGAGTCTATCATGAATGTCGCGTAGTATTTTTCACTGCTGGTCAGTACAAAATAGATATTCAATGTAGTAGTAAAGAATCCGCTCCAAATTCTCCAATACTTTATTCGGAGCTCGTAAATGCGGGACATACATGGCGTTATATACCGCCCGTCGAAATAACTGTCGACGATTATTAATATAAATAGAAAATACAAATCACCGTCTACACCAATGAACTGTAATATTTGTAAAAACAAAGAACCGAAACGTTGTGTATTAATTATATACATAAAAATAAAGAAAAAATATTTACTTTAATAAAGTTAATAAATTTTTATGTAATTCTATGTGTATGCGTTAAATATAAATTGTTTACTTCCAACAAGCTATATATGTGTAGATTATAAAAACTATAAATATTATCGTTTATTTCCCTCTAACTTTATCTTCTTGCCGAGAGGAATCATTTCCATCTCTTGCACATTCCTCCTAAACTTTTTGTAAAATTCAACTACAGCTGTATTAGCCCACACCTGTTGGCTATCAAAATCTAAAACACGTAAACTTTGTAAGCTCTGAGCTCTCGAAAGTGCTACGTAAGATTGACCAGCGTCAAATACCCTCGCCAAACACATTTCCACACAGTCTAAAGTTACGCCCTGACTTTTATGAATCGAAAAGGCCCACGCTAGCTTTAACGAAACTTGTTTTCGGTGTATGACAGCACCGGAAGTGGTTTTGATAGCCCATTTTTCCATCTTTGCCTCATAATAGGTTCCAGATCGCAACTGAATCACCGGTATATCATTTTTAAAACTAACAACAACCCCTCGAGCTCCGTTCACCAATCCACTGTTAACATTTATATTTTTCAGCAGCATAACTTGCGCGCCAACTTTCAGTACTAATTTACCGGGTATAGGCAGCTGCTGATCCAACATGTGCGTCATAGAACTATCGGAATCTAACGCTGTATATACTTTACTCTCGCCCTTAAGTTCATTCAACTAAAATTCGTTAATCTCATCGGCCTCCTTCACGTGCGAACATAATCTAGTTGCCAATACTCCGTTGCTTTCAATTTTTTGCTTCGCCGTTTCCTTCAAGATATCTACGATGTCATCCGTGACTCTACCTATCCTAACGCTATTCAATATTTTCACGAACGCCTTGTCCTTTTGTCGATGGACCGTCTGCAATTCAAAATTAAAGTGAACACATTTTTGCTAGGCCTCTCTCTGAAAGCAAAACTTGGCCTTGTCGTCGGTCCTAGACACGGGAGGTAACTGAAAGAAGTCGCCGCACAAGATTAATTGTATTCCTCCGAAGGGTCTTTCCGTTCTGTGCACGTCTCGCCACCGCCTCGATCTTGTCAAAAAAATCACTGTTTACCATAGAAATTTCGTCAATCACCAAGTGTTTCGTTCTCCTCCATATCGAAGCTGTAAGAATAATGTGTTTGTTTTTTTTCTTATCATTATAGACATGGAGGATGGAGACCATTTATAAGGAAATAACATTTTTGCGACTTTAATTCAATCAATGCATGAAAAAAATCATACGCTCATGGCAAAGAGAAATGCCTGAAAACGAAATCGTAGCTACGATTAGGCGTAATATAAAAATAGTGAACTTGTAGATTTAGCGATACAAAGAAGCAAGTAAAACTATATTTCAGTGGATCGTAAAAAATAAAAGATCGAGGAAAACCACATTCAAAGAAAATCTATATCCCGACAATTACATTCAAGAAGACCTTTTTTTAATAATAAGAACAGCGATCGCAAAAACGGAGCCGATTTCTGAAAACATAAGTTGCTCAAGTTTAATATTATTAATTATTTCACAAAAAATGTAATAAAGTTTTATCACTTATTAACATAGTTGAATTTGTAAACGTTTACAAGTTATAAAATAATAGTAATATTAATGTAAATATTATATGTAGTATTGTTAATAGTATAATTAAAAGCAAAATGAAAAAGTAGCAAATACTTATCCATTTATTAAAATAAATATAGAAAAAATACGTAAAAAGTTATATTCTACAAAATACATATTAAAGACATACACTTAAAAGACATTATCGAACCGTTTCATTTCACAACTGTCAAATACGGTCAGAAACGATCATAGGTTAAGTCTGTTTATTTAGGGACATTTTCATGCGTATAACCTGCGCAACCTGAAACTCATTGATTCACATAGATGGGAATAAGCACGTTAGAAATGTCACTCCAGGCAAACGGAAGTCCAGGCATTATGCCCGGTCTACAATGGATGTCGGAAGTCGGAGTCGTAAGAAATTGACCAATCACAGTTCATTATTCTTCGACCGCAAGGAGAATAATAGATTGTGATTGGTTAATTTCTTACGACTCCGACTTCCGACATCCATTGTAGACCGGGCCTTAATGAATAGCAGTGTACATATGTCGGAGTCGGATGTCGCAACGTAGTTGATGGTGATCCAATGAGAGAATTTCTTTTTCGCAAACGAATTTTCTCCATTGGACCATCGGCCATCGGCTACGTTCCGACATCCGACTCCAACATACGACTGCGGCTGAGTTTCCACTCAGCGCGTCACGCATCGCGTCGTCCGAGTTGAACCAATCAAAACATCC